AATAATAAATATAACTATAAATCACATCAGTAATACAATAAGTCAATAACAATACATTAACCTTTAGGATAACTTACAATCTATACATAGATTATTAGAATTAAACATAAAATATATACAGGCAATTATTTTTGAATGATAGTAAATAACTTTACATTRTAYTATACATTTTAAAGYTGTTTTTTCAAGACCATAAAGATACATTTTATTTTAAGAATACATTTATCTAGTTTAATATTATAACTATGTTATAAATTGTTTACAAAACAATACAATATAAATAAGACCAGATTGTTTCTAATGCGCTTTTATATTAATTTTAATAGATGTACATGATTTTATATGACTATTATGGGTTTTGATAAGTGGTCGATGATGTATATTATTACTAGTGAAATGTTTATATAATTATTAAAAAACGTTTAATGTATTTTTTTTAAACATAAAATTACAATTATATAAAACATCCCTTTTCAATGTTTTAAGATTAAATTTTCTTTGATCTAACACAATATACTTTTGTATATTCTATAATTTTATAAACAGAAAATGTTTTCTTTAGATTAATGAATTTCTTTGAATTTMTTTAAATTTATTCTTTTAATTTAGTTAAACCATAACTATTTGTAAACTTTAGATGAAATATTAGTCATAAGAAAATTTTACTCACAGAATAATAATAACTATGATTTATAAACATAATATTGTCACGTTAACAGTGAAGTTAATTAATTAAAAATTGATATTAAATTAGTAATAATATTACTAATTATAAAAATTAGTAAACTAATTAAATTAAGCATTTTCTCAAAAATTAAGATTTTAGATTTTACTTAGGAACACAAATTGGCTTCTATCAGTCAAGCTTAGATATCTGATACTTAAGGTTTGCTGGATGTAGCAGCTAACATTTGACTTATCATTTCACGAACTCTGTGTTGTTCTTGTAGTTGTTTACGCAATTCAATAATATCTTTATCTTTTTCTAAAGCAATATTTTCTAGATTTCTAATAAATGACATTTTGTTATTGATTTCCTATTAAAAATATAGAAAATATTCAATCAGCAATAATATTAGATATATATGCCAAAATATTGGTTTTATTTCAATATTATGTTGACTCACTAAATAGTTAATTAAAAAAACTTACCTCAGATTTTTCATTGATAATACTTAGTTTTTCTGTTAGTTGTTGTTCTAATTTAGAAACTTGAATTTTATTTTCTAGAAAAGTTGAAAATGTTTAATTTGATATTTTAAACACAAGCAAATACAATAATTTATGGACATATTATTAATTGTAATATAAACTTAATTTTACCAGTTTTTTCACTTTTTAATTGATCCAGTAAATCTGCTTTTATTTTATCGCTTTCAAAACGTAGATCTTCTAATTGTTTTTCAAGATTCTTTATTGAAGAATTTTGATCTTTAATAATTTGACGTTTTGATTCATAATTTTGTGATAGCTAAGGTAATATAATTTATAATTTATATTTATTGAATATTATAATTTATTATTTTAAATCACATAAAATGAATTAATTACTTTTGCAAAGTTATTACTAGTTATTGAAAATTGTTCAGTAATATCATTTAATTTTTTTTTTAAATCTTTGTTTTCTACTGATAACTCTTCAATTTCTTGATGATTATCTAAYAACATTTGATTTAGTTGCATTGATTCACTATTTAAACAAACTAATTTATAATTTAACCGTGTTATTTCTTCTGAAGCATTATCAAGACTCTGTTTTAACCACACTTCAGTTTGTTTTAATGTATTCATTTTGT